ACATCGCCACATCTCTGAGAGCTGAGATCCACAGAGAGGGCATCTCAAACTGTCCCACAATATTAGGATCATCTTTCTGATTGGACCTCAGGATGGTCTGTCCATTCTCTGTGCATTGCCACCATGCAGTTTCACTTGTGTTCATCTACCCACCGAGGCTGCTATGGAGCCATCATCCCAGCCAACATCCCTCACCTAGAAACAAGTGAAGAAGGAAATAGGCTGACCATGGAATTGCAGCTGATGACCAGCCAAAGGAACGAGCTTCAAGATTGTCTGCTCTTCATCAATGAAGGAACTGTGGATAATAGGTATCCATTGTTTCAGACTCCACAGGACTGTGAGCACTGTCACCCTCACTTAGTTTCTTTTAAGGTCTTGTGTTCCAGAGAGACAGGTGACCTGACCTCATGGGAGCTCATGGACTCTGGACCAACAGTTAGGGAGCCTCTATGGAACTGACTTCGGCTCTCTGCCTGTGTGTGACAGTTGTATAGTTTGTTCTTATTTTAGGGCTCCTTGCAGTGAGATCAGTACCTGTCCATGGAGTTTAGCTGGCTTTTGGAAACCTATTCCCCATACTAAGCTTTGCCTGGGTTTGACACAAGGCAAGTAGCTCAATCCTGCCTCCATTGGTGCGCCATGCTTTGCTCAATCACATGGGAGGACTGGACCTTTCTGAGTGTAAGTGGAGGAGGAATAGAAGGGGAAAGGGTAGATAGGATGGGGGGGGTGCAATTTGGAGGAGAGTAGGGAGGCAAAACTAAGGTCAGTATGTAAAATAAGTGAAAAATGCTTTTTAAACAAAATTTAAAAAATAAATTCTGATTTAAAAAAAAAAGGCTGTACCCCCAGAGTGACTTTGTGCCCAACCTCATGTCCTAATTTCTGCTTGGAGGAGAGGCAGACCTGAAGTTACAGGGGGGATGAGATGGGAAAACTATACTGCTTTCTCCATATTTAAAGCAGAGCCTGTGGTCTTAGTCATACAACTTGGGGATTGATGCAGTAGCTGTGAGTACATGCAGCCGGGGCAACCTCCATCTGAATATCCATCCTCTGCTGACTCAAGGATGCTTTTTTAACAAGGTTAAAAGCACCAGGAGGCCCTCATACTTAGGACTCAGAATGTAGCATCCACTGAGATTGGGGCAGACCAACAACCTCAGTTCACATGATCCTTGAGGCCTGTGTTCATGGGATTCTCTCCTCTTGCTCTAGACCCCATCACAAGCCAAATCCATTCTATGAGAAACTGAAGTTGGAACACAAACAGGTCATGTGGGAACTAAAGATCTTTGAGAATGAGAACACCTCAGAAAAGTTCAGTGAGCTGACCAAGGACACAGTCTTCTATCGGTAAGTGCCCATCTTGGCATGGACCATATTAGCTGTGGAATGGCCACCTCTGTCTTGTTTTCTTTGGTCTGCACAGTCTTCAGATCTGGTTGCAACCTTTCTGCTTCTTAGCATGCAGCCTTAGCAGGCATCTCTTGAGTTTGTGTCTCTTGGACTCAGTTTTGCCTAGTGTAAAAGAGACTGTTAGCCCCTGCCACCATTGTCCTAGAGCCTCAGGAGCCTCAATATAGAAAAGCGATTTGCACTGTGAGGGGAATGTCAGGTAGCCTGGGACTTCTGTTTTCAGGCCCAGGCTTTACAGATGTGGTGGCTGTGTAATCTGTAGATAGAATATACTCACTTTGGGTCTCCAGTCCTCCGTCAGAGGGTATTTGCTCACTACTTGCTGATGTTTCCCCATTAACACAGACAGTTAAAGACAGCTGGGGAATCGTTTTTTTATTGAATGGACATGGATTCCTTTGGTGTTGTGGTTTTCCATAGTAGTTTGATTCACCCCATCACAAGCCAAATCCATTCTATGAGAAACTGAAGTTGGAACACAAACAGGTCATGTGGGAACTAAAGATCTTTGAGAATGAGAACACCTCAGAAAAGTTCAGTGAGCTGACCAAGGACACAGTCTTCTATCGGTAAGTGCCCATCTTGGCATGAACCATATTAGCTGTGGAATGGCCACCTCTGTCTTGTTTTCTCTGGTCTGGTTGCAACCTTTCTGCTTCTTAGCAAGCAGCCTTAGCAAGCATCTCTTGAGTTTGTGTCTCTTGGACTCAGTTTTGCCTAGTGTAAGAGGAAGAGACCAGTAACCTCAAACCCCAGCAACAACAGGTAGGGTGCAGGTAAGTGGGTCACGCTAAGGTGTGCCACTATTTGCCCATTTGACTCCCTGTCTGCCCACCTAGCCAGGCTTTACAGATGTGGTGGCTGTGTAACCTGTAGATAGAATATACTCACTTTGGGTCTCCAGTCCTCCCTCAGAGGGTATTTGCTCACTACTTGCTGATGTTTCCCCATTAACACAGACAGTTAAAGACAGTTGGGGAATCCTTTTTTTATTGAAGGGACATGGATTCCTTTGGTGTTGTGGTTTTTCCATAGTAGTATGATTCTTTGTGGTATTAGCTGTTCTCTCATTTTGGCCTTCTGAGTGCAACAGTCATGGTTGTATGGGACTCTAGGATATGGCTTCCTTGAAACCTGGGGCCTTTGGGGTGCTGATCCTGGAGGCAGGGTTGGCAGGAGGAGGCTGGCAGGGCCTCTCTATGCAGAATGTGTCCCCAGCAGTCTGCACAGCCAGCTCCTGATGGAACAGACTCATCTGCACAAGAAGGTGGACCTGCTGAAGCAGGAGAAAAAGAAACTGCAGGAGGACTTGGTTCTTCTCAAACACCACTTGAAAGATTTGAATGTGATCTGTAAGGACCAAGAGGAAGAGACCAGTAACCTCAAAACCCAGCAACAACAGGTAGGGTGCAGGTAAGTGGGTCACCCTAAGGTGTGCCACCATTTGCCCACTTGACTCCCTGTCTGCCCACCTACCCACCTGTGCTTTCACTCGTAGTGTTACTCATCCATGCTCCCATCCAGCCATCTACCTCATTCCATTCTGGCATTCATTTCAGTGTCCATGCACAAGTACTTCTGGGAAGTTAGCCTCTTATGAGAAATTGAATTATTGTCAAGGAATCCCTGCTGCTCTGCTTGAAGCTGCAGTCCAGTGAAGAAGGTCCAAAACATGTCACACACCTACATGTCATTACGATAGGTAGGATTCTGTGCACAGAACTTTGAGTGAGTGAGTTCTGGGTTCTGGTTCCTCAGTTGCAGGAAAGATCAGAGCCTTCCCAGGAGTGTTCTGTCACATATGCCCCAAGAGAGTCAGGATGCAGGTTCTTAGCTCTAGTCCTAAGAAGAATCTGTTTGGTCCCAAAGCCCAGGCAGGGCCAGTGCACTCAGGCACACATCTCAGGAAATGCTGCTCTAGCATGACAGGCTCTAACTTGCACGTTGCTCATGTTCAAGGTCTCTCCTGGACATGAGGACTGAGGTAGTCATGACCTTGTTCAGGAGCACAGGTTGCAAGGCTGTATTATGTCTATATATAAAATGATGTGGTCAATCAATAATTCATCACGTATAACTTGTATGTTGCTCATATGCTGTTGACTATTGTATTAATTTGTTGTTGTTTGCAAAATGGAACTGTAGGAGAAGTTCATATTCTTTCTAGTAGAAAGTAAAACATATACTGCTTAAAGTTATGACATGTGTTTAGAACTGAGAAAAGTTCTAGGTCCAGGTACTGTGTGATCCTTATTCTTTGGGGATACCAACAATGACATCAGTCAAAAGATCAATGTTGACTGTCTAGCTCAGCTGAGGTGGAGGAGGGAGGAGCTAGACAGCTGACACAGCAGGTTCCCACCTGGCCTGTGTCTTAACTGCTTTGAATTCCCAGATCCACACAACTGCAGCCTGAGCTGGAACAGGACACAGCCCAGCATGAGAGCCACCTGCAGAAGGAGCTACTACAGCAAGAGCCACCTGCTGAGCCCCATCCCCAGCAAATAACTGATTCCTGAGGATGCATTTTCTTCTTCAGATTTGGTGTTCATTGTGGAGTAGGTACTGATTATGCCTAGGTAGTAACCTAGCATGATTGCTTCTGGGTCTTGATTCCCTTTCCTTCTTGAAAGCCCCTTTTGAGAGAACTTGGGAAGTCAAAGAAGCCACAGACACCTGGAATGCATTATATACTTTACATTAGGATCAAGGCTTCCAGAGAAAAAGGCACCCTGTTGTAGTTGTGAACTCACCAGTTAGGAAAGCACCAACTGACCTCCAGGTGACCCATGCCCAATCTGATCCATGTGTCTGTTGGCTCAGTTTTTGAAAAGAAAAGAAAGAATCAAAAATATGCTTGAAGCAGGCGTTGGTGGCGCAGGTCTTTAATCCCAGCACTCGGGAGGCAGAGGCAGGCGGATCTCTGTGAGGCCAGCCTTTGTCTCCAGAGCGAGTGCCAGGCAGGATAGGCTCCAAAGCTACACAGAGAAACCCTGTCTCAAAAAACCAAAAAAAATGCTTGAGATACAGAAAACCCAAGACAAATATTATTAAAAATCCTGACATCCACTGGTAAGTGGCCTCAGATGTGGGGAGAAGATGACAGATAAAGTCCAACAGAAGAATGGCTATACTCATCTTGAAATAGCTGTCACAATTTTTGACTCCCTTGCTATTATGTCTCCAAGGCCAGTCACAGGCTGTAGGTCTGTGCCTTTCAATTTGCAGCAAGAGAATGCTGCTCATCTTCATTTTTTTTCTTGGGTTTTTGGTTTATACTTTTGCTTCTGGTGGATTGGGTTTTGTTATTTTGATGTTATTTATTGTTTTTCATAATTTGCTAAGGCTATTCACTTTTTGTATTGATTGCCCTTCGAAACCCCTTTTGAAAAATGTATATTTTTATGAATAAAAAAGCAATTTCCAAATCTGCACACTTAGCCCCAGCTTTTTTAGTCAGGTATGGTGTCACAGTGCTAAAAGCCCACAGCTGGATCTCTGGAATTTTCAGGCAGCATGGGCTACATAGTGAGTTCCCAGCCAGACAGAACTATACAGTGGATTGGAGTCTTGCGTGTGGATAGTATGGCTTACTCCAAGGATACACACTTTATGATGGAATCAGTATCCATACTGTATTCATGCTACCCCTAAAATATGGTACTGTGTAGACACACTTTGATGAATTGGTCATAAGATCCAAATTATTGAGAAATACACCTTTATTGCTCTATTTACTCTCAAGTAGAAAAGAAATCAGGAAACCCAGAACTATCTGCCTTTGTTTTCCTTGAAATACAGCATCAATGATAACCACACACAATAGAGATAATGACCTTCCAAGTCACTTTGGAAAATAGCTTTTTATAACCACCTTTGCTCCTGATACTGCAATTGCCCCTCATGCTCGCAGAAGCCAGAAGGGGACGTTGTATCCCTTGTCATAAATGGTTGTTAGGTGCCAGGTGAGAGAGCAGCAACAGCTGTTATAATGTGAGGCATCTCTCCAGCTTTGCTCTTGGTTCTTGTCCTTCAAGCCCTAGGTACTGTATCTGGGAGGGACGGATTACCTTCAACCAAAGAGAGACTCCAACCAAAGAAAGACGTCCTTGGAGAAGTTTAGGGTTAGGTACATGAGATAGACATGCTAATGGTCTTAAGCTGCCAGGCATCTATGCAGGGCTCTGATGTCCCCACCAATCTCTGTGGATTCAGGATCATGTGGCAACATCACTTATTGTCAGGGTTGGAGCAGATCTGTTCACTTCTCATCTAGGAAGACAATGTGTATTAGGTACATCTGATGAAATGCAGAGTTGAGATGACCCTCTCTGGTCCTGGGTGTGGAGTAAGAAAGATCTTCAGCTAAGCAGTGTTGGGAGCACTGAAGCAGGCACAGTACATGGAGCCTTCAGCAGAGCACACATGTTTCTGAGGGAGAGCATGCCCATGCAAGCATGGGACATGAGAGGGACAGGTGAGTCAGAGTGTTCAAGTATGGAGGAAGCAATCCTGTGGATCCCCAGACAGGTGCTGAGAAACCAGGCTTTTCAAAGCTCAGCAGCCAGGGAAACAGGGTAGAGGATTTAGTTACTCTCTGCCATATTCTCTGACAGAGAAAGGTCATCTGTAGACACACTGGAATATAGGTCAACCGTGGTTTAGGCCACATTACCAAGTTACTACTATATTGAGAGTTCCATAGATCCTTCAACCTCCAGCATCCAACCTCCTAGCTCCCTCCATAGACTCCATTTGTTAACCTGTATTTTCACTAAGGCAATCATTCTTTTATTTTTGGGAGGCGGGAATCTACACTTTTTAATGTACTCAAAGGACATAAATACTGCTTCAGAGCTTAGGAAGTTCTGTAGACTGAGGCCCATCCTTTTCTCTCCCAGGTATTTAAACATCCCTCGTGGGGTTTTTGATTGTTTATTTTGTTTTTCATTGTTCTGATAGGGTTTATCTGTGTCAGAATCCTGGCTGGACCTCCTTCTTCATGGCATTAAAGGAATGTAACACCAGTGCCCAGCTACATTCCCAGTCTTGAGAGCATTCTGTCAGCCATTCTCAAGGAACAGTCTTGTAGTGGACAAATTGACAGCTCAGTCTCTTCAACTATTCTAACCTGTGAATTGTTGTGAAATACAAATGGAGTTCCAGACTGGGATGTAACTCAGTGGTGGAGGAGTTGTTTAGCATGCACAGTGCCCTAAATTCAATCCTAGCCCTAGGAACTAGAGGGGAAGAAAAGTTAAAAACCCCAATGAAAAACTTAAAAGGGGAAGTTCCATAGATCCTTCAACCTCCAGCATCCAACCTCCTAGCTCCCTCCATAGACTCCATTTGTTAACCTGTATTTTCACTAAGGCAATCATTCTTTTATTTTTGGGAGGGGGGAATCTACACTTTTTAATAAAGCACAGTTCCCTATCAAATGGACTATAAATGAACTACAGTTCCCTGAGCAACCTTACTCCCTGACCACAACAGCACAAACTCCTAGGTAAAGTGTATTCCTGGTGTTCATTGCTGGCAACAGAATCAAGGCACAGTGTCTTCAGTTCTTGCAGACACCCAATAGCACCCAGGAGTCTCCTGATGTGTCTTTCTTGCCACATTGTACCATTCCTGACCTTTCTCCTTGCCTTGTCTGCATCTCAATAAAAGCACATTGTGCCCCTGACACAGAAGCCTGGATGGCTTTACCTGTGCCGATGCCCATGGCTTCCCTAGGAACAGCTCCGAGGATGAGCAGCAGATTCTCTGATAGTTTTTCTTTTCTGTTCTTCTCTTTCCTTTTTTTTGAGACAAGGTCTTTCTACTTAATCCTGGCTATCTCAGGACTCTCAATGTAAATCAGGCCAGCCTTGAAGTCTCAGAGATCTGCCTGTCTCTGCCTCCATGGTCCTGGGATTAAAGCCAGCACTCCATTCTGAGGATGGCAAGAGGGGAACAACAAGCTAAGGACAGAGGCTCAAGAGATCCAAGAGTGAGAAGAATCAAACCAGCTCATGACTGAAAGGTCTGGGTTATATAGAAATGAGAAGCTAGGGT